TTATGATTTTTTATCCAAATGATCAAATTGGTTATGAAACAAAAATTTTACCACAAATTATGGATGAATTAGAAAAACAATATGAATTAAATGGAAATCAATTTCAATGGAGAGATATTGATGATAGAGAATTCTTTGCTAATGCTATGTTTAAAGCTACAGTCAATTGTCGAGAAGTTGATTTAGGTATGTGTTTTTTTTTTCTTTACAAACTAATACATCAAAGATATATCCAAACAAAGAATAGATCTTTCTGAGTTATCCAAAAAACTTTGATGAAGCAGGAGTACTGTAGTTTCCTGCTGGAAAATTGTCAAGTGTTGAAAGCAGAAATATGATGTCTAGGTTAGAAATGTCCGGGATCAAGTATTTGGGTATCGATCCCGGTAAATTATTTTCTAGTGGTTCCAGTTATAGGCTTGGTAAATCTAATCTGGTGTTGATCTCGGTAATTTTAGTTTTTCGAGTGCCGATCTATAGAAAATTATTGTAGAACTTGTTCCTACTACTTCTAAAATAATTCTTGATAGGGTTTATAGGATAATTCGCTTAAAACTATAGAATATTTAATTATAATCTTCAGCTCCTGTTGAGACACACTTTTTTCTCGTTATTCGAGTCTCGATGATTGGGAGTAAAGTTGGTCAGACATATCTCTAGTCTAGATTCAATGACTGGCTTTTTTTTTGCTTCCGGCGAGAAGTGGACATTGACAATGACGAAATCTATGCGACGAATTGTAATGTTCAAGATTCGACTTTTCTCCAGGATTTACGTTCGAAGTACTCTAAATTACTATTTGAAGAGAACTAAAATATTATGCATACAGAAAAGGAGAAATAAAGCTTCTCGTCCAAGATTTGAATATCACATTTTTAAATTCCAAGACTATTTTTAAAAAAAATAACATTTATCAGTTCAGAATATCGGAAGAATGAGGACAATAATAGTGTTCGTATTTACTTTCAACATAAGTTAGTATATACGCCATGGCTATAGAAGATGTTAACACTCCGAAAAAACAATTTCATACTTCAGAAAACTCAAAATACTGGTTCCCAAACATTTTTTTATCTAAATGGTGATAAAAACAATCTCGGAAATGTTCCATGACTTTCCCCAAGTCAAAAATGTTACCATCTGAAATGCTTTGAGAATTTTCAAAGGTTCAGAAATCTTTCTAACATAAAAATGGCCAAAAACTCGTTTTTCTCACAGTACGAAATCTATATAAGGTGCACCAAGGGCAAAACGTAAGCAAAAAAAAAGTTTTTTTGTTTTTCACATCATTTGATAGAGCTTGTCGAGCTGATTCCGAATATGTATATTTTATTATGTTTTGATCAAGTTTTGGATCTGAAACATTGAAAATACTATAAAAAATTGAAAAGGAAAAAAAAATCATTGTTTTGGAAGAAAACGTGAAATTTTGCTCCTTTCCACTAAATATAGGCTTTCAAAACTGCTTTATTCAGATTCAGCATGTCAAACTGAGTGTTAAAATGTAGCCTCAAACAAATTTTAACATAGTCAGAATTTTTCATGAGATCAACTAGGATGAAAAAGTGACTCATAGACACTCATATCTTGTAAACCTATCTAGTCTTTTGTTTGAAAACATTTTCTAAATATTTATACACCAATCGAATCGTCATTCGACAAGGAAAAAAAGTACATATGGGTTTTAAGAAATTTTGTTCTCCGCCTGAGATATGGAGTATTTACTAAATCATTAACGATCAGGCTAAATTTGACCCCTGAATTGCCATTTTTGGCACCAAAACTCAATCAGAATGCAATATAAATACCATATTCGGAATCAGCATAAAAATTTGACTCGAATGTGATAGAAACTAATCATTTCGGAACACTTTTTTTTTTTAATTTTCGACAATAACAACCTACCAAAGATTTCCATCAGAAAACGAAAGTCGTCCGAATGATTAGAAACCCATCATATTCGACTCAGATTTTTATGCTGATTCCGAATATGGTATTTATATTGCATTCTGATTGAGTTTTGGTGCCAAAAATGGCAATTCAGGGGTCAAATTTAGCCTGATCGTTAATGATTTAGTAAATACTCCATATCTCAGGCGGAGAACAAAATTTCTTAAAACCCATATGTACTTTTTTTCCTTGTCGAATGACGATTTGATTGGTGTACAAATATTTAGAAAATTTTTTCAAACAAAAGACTAGATAGGTTTACAAGAGATGAGTGTCTATGAGTCACTTTTTCATCCTAATTGATCTCATGAAAAATTCTGACTATGTTAAAAGTTGTTTGAGACTACATTTTAACACTCAGTTTGACATGCTGAATCTGAATAAAGCAGTTTTGAAAGCCTATATTTAGTGGAAAGGGGTAAAATTTCACGTTTTCTTCCAAAACAATGATTTTTTTCCGTTTCAATTTTTTATAGTATTTTCAATGTTTCAGATCCAAAACTTGATCAAAACATAATAAAATATACATATTCGGAATCAGCTCGACAAGCTCTATCAAATGATGTGAAAAGCAAAAAAACTTTTTTTTTTGCTTACGTTTTGCCCTTGGTGCACCTTATATAATGTTCAGTGTTTGTCTGCCTGTGCCGGGTCAATGGTCAAATAAGGGTATAAGGGAAAGGCGCCGATGGCTACCGTATTGAAATGCCCATAGAGGTCCTCATGGACTATTATATGGGATAACCATAGGTCCTCAAGAGCTACCTCATGGGGGTATCCATAGGTCCTTAAGGGCATATCCTATTGGATACCTATAGGCCCTCAAGGGCTATTATATGGGGGTATCCATAGGTCGTTAAGAGCTATTATATGTGGGTGCCCATAGGTCCTTAAGGGCTATTATATGGGGGTAGGCATAGCCCCTCAAGGAAGTAAAGCAGTAAGGGGTAAGTAATAAAACGTAAAGCAATAAGGGGATAAGGCTATAAGGCCGAAGACTACCTGGACTATAGAAATATGTGCAATATAAGAGTATGATGCCGTAGGGCTATCTATCTATATACATAATATCGGGTATCTGTATGTCTGTTACCGAATGATAAGTTAAACGTCTAGAGTCATACGTTAAAGGAGAAAACAGCCGTGCAATATGCACGAGTTCTTGCTAGTTTCTTTAATTTCTAAGTAGTATTTTTTGTTTATCGTCGAATTTCTTGAATATATATGATACAAATTTACTTTAAATAAATTTTTCTTTTAGCTAAACATATTCATCGTTTTCAAATGACTGGTTCAAATAGTCGTTTTATTCCTGATGCATTTAAAGAGCAAATGTATTATACAAATATGTTTCATTTACTTTTTCGTTTTGATATACCTGAACATGTTATGTCATTATGGGAATCAGTTGTACCAAATATATATTTACCATCAAAAAATATAATTGAAGATTTTATAGAATTTCTTTCAACATGGAATATAAAAGATTATTATGTTCGACTTTGGTCTGATTTAATTCTATTAGGTTTTATTAATAATAAACGAAATAACCGTCGTATTATTGAACGTTATTTAACATTACTTATACGTAATGATCAAGAAAATTTATCAAATGAAGAAATGAAACAATATGCAAATATAGCACGACAAATTTTAAAACGTTTTCCATCAATATCTGATGAAGATAAACAACAAATTGATCATACAACTGATAATCAAGAAAATTTATCAAATGAAGAAATAAAGCAATATGCAAATATAGCACGACAAATTTTAAAACGTTTTTCATTAACATTTGATGAAGATGAACAACAAATTGATCATATAACTTGATGATCAACAAAAAATTGATGAAGAACGAACAAAAGAATTAAAACAACGTCAACCAAAATTTCAGGACAAGCATTTTTCGGAGCCCGCAATTGGAAACATTTGAGCCCGATGACATTCGTTCGGGCTCAACAAAAAAAATGTTTTTGTGTCTTTTGACTCCGAAATAAGAAATGAGCCCGATTATTCATTGTTTCGAATTTGTTATAGTTTATTAAGTTTAAAAAAAAAATAACATCATTTTATATAACAGAAAACAAAATAAAGCACATACAGAAAAAAATGAACGAGATAAACCTGGTCCTGTTTTTTTTGGTCGTTCACGTCGTTTTCCTAAGAGTGTGGGTGTGGGTGTGGGTGGGTGGGTGTGGGTCGAGACAAATAGTCATTACTGACTTATTCAAGATCATTCTATGCGTGACAGATTATATGCTTTCTTTTAAAACTCCCTATCAACTCGTTTTATATTACGATTGATTTCAACTTTGGAAAGTTCATTTTATATGAAATCAGATGCATTTAGTTATTAGAATCAATGTTTTAAATATTTCAAATTTATTGTTCATTGTGAATTTGTTGAAGTAGAAAAATGTCGTTTGAAGGTTTTTGAAATTTATTATAAAAAAGATAATCAATAATATGCAATTTAATGTTCATTAACTAAATTTTATGACAAATCTTCTCAATAGAATATTTCTAAAAGAAAATCTTCGAAAACGAATTCTACTAATGAAATATTAAATAAATTCGATTCGTTTTCATCTTCTATATAAAAAGTATAATTGTGGGTCATTCAAAACTCATAATATCAGAAAGTAATTCAGGAAAATATCAAAGAAAAGATGATCATTACATAAAAATAATTCGCAAAACTGTTCATCTTCATCATATGACATATTAAATAAATAATAAAAAGAAAAATAATCACATTCATTCTTCCCCTTCCTCTTATGAATTCATTTAATCATTATCATTTTCGACCATCGAAAAAAAAAAAACATTGTTATTGTTATTGGTGACGACATCAATCAAATAGAAGAAGAATAAGAAATCAGACAGGCTAGGCGAATTGAAATTGAATTAAACAATATAATTGCTGTTTCTACTTAACAACACGACTCTTATTACTTCATTCAGTTTTAATTCGTCTAGTCAGTTTGATCCATAATATAAAATAAGTATATAAATATTGACTTTTCGAATATACAATAAACAGATAAATGAAAATAAATATGAAATATTCATGTGTCGAATTGAATGATTTACCAGATGAAATTCTAATAATTATTTTTAAAAAACTTGACAATCTTGAAATACTTTATTCTATTCAAGATGTCAATGAACGATTGAATAAAATAATACATGATCCAATATTTACAAGTCATTTAAGCTTTCTCAAGTGGTCATTCAATAAATGTATCAATAAATTTTCTTCTCATATAATACTTAATCGATTTTGCTTTGAAATTTTACCTAAAATTCATACAAAAATCAAATGGTTGGATGTTGAATCATCATCTATAAAAAATATTTTATATGCTGCTGATTATCCTAATTTAAATACACTCGGTCTATATAATATAAAAGAAGATAAAATTAAATATCTTTTTACTGGTAAGGAAATCTGAATAAAATTCTATTAATTCTAACCAAAATAAAAATATGCATATTTTGAAATTATTAATACAGATGAATAGAAAGAATATTGAATATATTAAATAAATTTTCTAATTTATGTTTAACTATGAAACTATAAAGAGAAGAATCATTTATATCAATTGAGATAAAAATAAAACAAAAAACAAAATTCTTTTTTTTTTAATGAATAGAAAAGAATACTTAAAAGATAATAATCATTATTTTTAATAAATTTATTATGAACTATGTTTATAAAAGAGAAATTATATCTAAAAGAAAAATTCCTTTCTGTCTAAGATTATCTTAATCTTTGATTATTTGTAAAGATGATCATATTGTTTAATATTATCTATGTGTTTAGATAAAAGACTTTCATCTTTTATTTTTAAAAATCAAATTACAAAACTTATCATTAATATTAATCCAGATAAAAAAAAATGGTCGAGAATGGAAAATGTATGTAATACTATTTTTACTATATTTCTTAATTTAACTAATTTAATATTTTATGATGCCTCATATGAAAATCATGTTCGATTATTATTTAATATTCCATCTCCTACTTTTTCTTCTTCATCTCTTTTGATATTAAAAATCAAGGTTCAAACTTTTCATGAATGTCTTTATATTCTTGATGGTCGTTTCGATCAACTTCATACACTTTATATTGAATTGGTTAATATTTTGCCTCCATCAAAAGAAATTGAAAATCAAGTTAGTTTTACATAAAAATAAATTTTATTTTATTTTATTTTTATTTTTAATTTTGTTTCTCTAGAGAAAAATTCCAAATCTAAAATGTTTTGTTTTGTATTGTATTTTGGAAACATGGTATTACGATCAATTAATTTTACCACTTCTTTATCGAATGCCAAATTTAGAAAAACTTAGTTTAGATCTCAGAGTCTTTGTTAATGAAACATTTATTGATGGAAACAATTTGAAGAAAAATATTCTTAATCGTATGTCACAATTAAAACAATTTACATTTAATATTAGTTCGACTATTTTTATTAATACTGAAATGAATTTACCATCGAATGAAGACATTCAACAAACATTCAATGATTTTCAATATAGTAAAATAATATGTTGTGTTGATTATTTTCAAGAGTATAAACAGGTTCTATGTCATATTTATTCATATCCATTTTTAATGCAACATTACGAAGATGTAACAAATAATTTTCCAGGTGGATTATATCCATATGTTCGTCTTATATCATTATATGATGAACGTCCTTTTGAACATGATTTTTTTATTCGAATATCTCAATCATTTCCATTTATGGAAAAATTATCTATCAATAATCTTCATGCACAAAAACAAAAAGAATCTTATAAATTAATGAATGATAAATCGAATTTATCAATTATTAAATATGATCATCTTATTGAACTTCAAATAGATCGAGCTCATGATGATTATATTGAAGAATTTTTATGTAATACAAAAACCTATTTACAAAATAATATTTTTTTTGATGTCCATTATGAAGCATTAAAAAGAGTAACACATAATTTTACAAGAGATGATACACGAATTAATTCTACCAAAGTAAATCAACTATTTTTATTTGGAAAAACCGAATGTTCAAAATCTTGTCAAGATTATTTTCCTTTTGCAGTAATAAATTGATTATTATTATATTACAAGTAGAACAGAAAACTATCTTTTGTATTGTATATTATTGTGAAAAAACAATGTCATACAAAGAAATTAATATGTTCATCTGTAAAAAGATATAATATGTCAAATAAATTTTTTTTTTTTTTATAATACAGAACATTTAAGTGTTAATAAAGGAATTTCAATTCTATACTCTATGGACACAAACTGATTTCATCTTATTTCCACCATTACAAATTAGTTTGTTTTCCCTTGTTTTATACATATCAATATTAATGAGAAGAATATTGTTTTGAAAGAAATCATTTTCAATGGTACATGAATATTTATATTAAAAAAAATTTGAAAAAAAACTTTCAATTATGCTTGTTCAATTTAAATTTTTGAAAAAAATAAAATGTAAAATAAAATTTATCTTTTCATTGTTTATGAAAGAATATATCCAATTGATAACTTTATTTTAAACTCATATTTTACTCATAGGTATAGGTAGGGATCGTAGTGTAGACAAAAACTGTAGAAATGTTTGTGCTATTGCTACCGTATTTCAGAAAAATAAAGATAAGAAATAACAAGTTTTGTATAGCAGAGATGCGTGAGTACATGTACAAGTTGTACTTGTATAGTTTTCACTATGTGATCTCATGTATATGTACGTACATGCACTCGTATCTATTCATATTATTCGAGTACATACGAATACATACGAGTACATGAATTACAAAATGATTCAAAAACTCTCTATTACATATATTTATATATATATATATATGAGTGAATTGCATAATTATAGTACCGTTTTGCGAAAAAAATGGACGAAAAAAAATTTTCGATTTTGAACACGATGATCCGCGCATCCTATAGTATTACATGCGAGAAGAATATGAATAAATTTTCCCGACTACCACTTTCGAATTGACCGAGATACAAGAGTTTTTTAAAAATACTGTTTACATTCAAGGCCTAATGACATTGATAATACATGATGTAGCTCGATTTTTTGACGAGATTTTAGAATTTAACGTTGAGCCTTTCTTTTATAATGAGGAAACATGTTTAATCTAGAGAATTAGCAGTTAAAGCAGCATAATTTACTCTAAATTATATTTGGCTGTTACACTTTTACAGCGATAAAATTTGCAAATGTGCAGTCAGGTAGAGAATGTATATATAATATAATGGATAACAGGGCAAGTGTGGACGTGAGTGTGAGTGCAATGGGTGAAGAGAAAAGCCACATCCACACCCACTGACCTCGGAGCATTTCACTCAACCTCAAAATAGTGATGTTTACCGATCAGACCGAAAAATACTATAGGAATAGAGTTTATAATTCACAACATAAAAGGAAGAAAACTGAGAGTCGAAAGTAATAATGAACGTTCTTTCCGACAAGATAGTCAAAACTGAATTAGAAATTTTGTTGCGATCGCATTTATTAATGGTCTCATGGGACATCTTTTAAATGGAATGATTTTCACTTTTTAGCATCGCGAATAGGATCAGTTTTCTAGGTTTTTTCATATTTCCTAGTTGAACGTTGGCACATCTACGTCTATGGTCAAATTTACAGTAGTGAGTTGCTTCAGCTGATTGTCTTTGATTTGCGTGATTGGTAATGAAAATATTTGGTATTCATGTAGGTCGGAAAGTAAGGCTACTCTTGAATTCAAGCAGACATATCGAGTCATCAAACTCATAGCCATTGACGTAATTATACCGATTAATTCAAGGATAAAAGGATCATTTAGCAAATAGTATTTAGTGATCAATCCTCATCACTTTATTTCTCGTTGTAAAATTTAGATCGACTTGAAAATCTTCAAGCTATACAAATCAACATAAAATGTTGGGTGTATCTTTATGTTGATCGAGAAAAACATTTTGAAAGCCTAAGTTTTCGCTTGCTTTGGGCATTTTCGACAAATCAACATGTTCAATGGAATTCCAAAATCGTGACATGCTTGTTTGGAGTTTTAGATCACAGAATTATTTATTTAAATTAATTTGTTGACTGGAATCATGGTTCGAATTCGAATGAAATTCCGAAAATTAAACGTAAGTAAAGTTAGCACCAGATTCGAGTATTTCTTGTCCCGATTCGCTTTCTTACCTGTGTTAATTCTCTACGAGCTTGTGTTAGGTGCAGAATTTTATGCTCTATCGAATAGTACTATTTTTGAGCGGGATCATCGGGTAAAAACCACAACTTTTCCCTCAAATACTCATTTTCCCCCTGTGTATCAATAACAAAGATTCTGTATTTCTTGTCCGGATTCGCACTACCACTTGTGTTAACTTTCTAATCAAGTGTGTTGAATGCAGAATTTAATTCTCTATCTAATGGTATCATTTTCAAGGGGGGTCATCGTCCAAAAAGAAGGGATTATGCCACAAATACTGGGTCCAGGACGAGATCGCACGTGTGAAT